TTCTTCTTCGGGCTGTTGCACCAGCGGTCTTGGAATTAATAAACATTTTCACGGGCGCTCATCCGAATCAATTAATCACGGCGCATCTTAATTAATCATCGCGGCGGCCGCGCTCCGATTTTGGAGGCCCCATCATCATCATAATAACAACAACAATAACAAGGACGGTGATGGCGTTGCGTTATCGAGAGATAGTCTTGCATCTTCGGACTGGATGGAATTGAAACGCCAGAAACACATACACACACATTGTATGAGATAACAACGCACGAAGAGGCGCGGCCGGTGAAATGATCAATATTGGCCGATTTAATTAATACACCCATTGATCGGATGATTAATCAATTAATACATTCGAAAGTCCATTCTGTACTCTTGTTTCCACGTTGCTTTTTTTACTTAAGCTCTTCTTTTTGTTATTCTTTTCATTCCACTTTATTTTTCTTCGTGCCAACCAATGAGTATTTGCTGCGCTGAGCATAGATTGCGCACAATGTAAATAATTAGCAACAGAGATATTTATCTCCGTTAGTCCGTTATTCCATTTATTTTAATTGTGCAACTGATACAGCTGCATACAACGGCTAACTACACACATAATGCCACCCTCCGTACAACGAGACCAAAAAAAAAATGTATATAATACCTGCACACATTCACAACAGTATACAGACACATTCATATACGTATACAAATATATACAAACAGACAAACACAAACAACTCTTCTCGCCTTTCGCAACGGTTGTGCACATAATAAAACGAAATTTTATCAAGATCATATCCATCCTCTCTCTCATTTTTTTTTTGTTCTTTCTTGGAACGCACAAAAGGGATAACTTATACCATTTCCAATTTAAATATCGCATTTAACTGCAGAAGGAAGATTAATCACATGCAAACTGCAGATAAATAAACAGAATAACTTATGAGTTTCATTCCAACAGAATCTAACAGGTTAACAGACAGCGCGAAAAATAATACAATAATATATTTCCAATACGCGCATTCACAAGTTTCAAATTGATAGCTTTTCGCTAGCATTTGATAACAGAAAATTGCTTTTATAAATTATTTCCATGATAATACCGAGTTGTTAACATCTACTGCTTATCAATAGGTAATAAGTATTCAAATGCAGTGAGTTATTATTATCGAAATCTTATTTGTCGTTAGTAATGATTGGGAATAGGAAAGGATGATTTTAATAAGAAGTATTAATGTAGATGGCAAGTACAAGATGTAAAAAATGAGATGATTTGAAAATTGGAAGCATGAGTATTCTACTTGTACTACTAATTACCAATAGCTCATATAATAATTGCCATATACACATCTCGAACACACTACGTAGTACTTGTCAAGTAAAACATGAGATGATTTGAAAACAGGAAACATGAGTACTATGTATACGTAGTAGATTGTACTTGTACTACTTATAAATTTATTACCAATAATAAGGGATATATCATACACACTTCATAGTCATTCCCATATAAATTACCTACTTGCACATGTATTTTTAAGACTATTTACAAAGTAATGTACAGAGTTGTACACTCACTACACTTGGGAAGTCTCCAAGTAATTTCACATTCATCAAACTTAAGTGTAAAACCTAATTCAATTACACAAAACATGTACATAATATACTCTTGTCAAGTACAATTACAATGAATTACTTGTCACAAATGGGATATGTTTATGGACTACAAAGTGCTATGGCAAACTACGTTATATTTGATAAATAGTTGTAATTAGATATTTGACAAGTAATATCCATAAGTACTAAAACTATTGTCACAGTTCAAACACCATACTAATATTATTAAAATATTAGAACTAATGATTCCGATTTATTGCACTGCATTTGAAATAATTTGTATAAAATTATACTTGGTACTTGCCAAGTATTTTATACTGAGCAGTTTGAAATTGTACGCATGCGCCTTTTGTGTGTCGGCAATAGCTAATAGATTGAATGAATTGACGGAACAATAATAAAATTAAGGATAATGGGAAACAAGGATAAATGTATGGAAAGGCAGAGGGAAGAAGGAAAATAAAAGTCGATAACACTAATTGGGAATGAGTGTTGAAAAAGAGCAATGAACCGCAAAGGACAGACAGGAAAGGGTTCGCGCGCGATGGACAGAGAGGACGAACGGCAATTGTAATTCTTTTTATTGTGTGGCCGGGTCTTAATCTTGTCCCTGTATTTTATGTAATTTGTATAAATGTTACTTTGCATTTTTATTATGCACGCAGATAAACCTTTTTCGGGCTCGACACGTTTTGGGCGGCCCCCAATTCGGGGATATTTAACAAACCGCCGGGCGTATTTTATGTGGCGGGGGAGAAAGGAAGAAGGACGACAGGACATGGGATATATCCACATATATATACAGAGAGAAAGAGTAAGAAGGACAGCGATAAAAAGGACGCCCAGGTGATTGATGAACATTTCCACTCATTAACTCCACACATCTACACATGTACACGCCGTCTCTTGCGGCCCAAAAGGAGGACGAAACAAAAATAAAAACGAGAGAAAGAAAGGAATAAACTCGACGAACAAATCGATAATTAAAAAAGGAAAGCAACGAATTGGAAAGAGGAGAACAACAACGGAAAAGAAAAAAAGGAACGACGAAACGAATTCTTACAGTTTGTGCGCTGTCATTTAATTACAACATCCTCCTCCTCCACATTTCGCTATTCGCCTCGTCGCGCTTTTCTTTCGTTTCCAGCTAATTCATCCGAATTAATGATCAGCATGTCCTCTCCATATACATTTTTTTTATTGTTTTGGGCATATTTTCACGTCGCCATAAATAATTTTCACTTAGTTTCGTGGAGATTTACGGCGCTCGGAAACGCCCGAGGACAGAACGACAGTAATTTATCGGCGCCAATTAAATTTTTTTAATACTTTTCCGAACCGATGCACTCCTTCGTTTTCGTCATCATCATCATCGTCAAAACTGCGTTACATAAATAATTGCGTAATCCATAAATGATGAAGGGGCGCTTCGGAACGGTGACCGTAAATAATATTGATGGCAACAAAAGGTATGGTTGCCCTTCGCACTTGACGCACAAATAAATATGTGGGAATGATGTAGATATAAAATAATAACTCTGTTGACGAAGAGCGTAATTTTAGAGGTAAACAAATTAAAGGCTAGCTTCCGCTGTTGGAACTAAGTAAACGAGGCCACTTATCTATTGTGTAAGTACTCTGTATGTAAACTAGAAAATTGATATTACGCCATATATTGAAATTCAAGCATTAGGTATCAAGATTTCCGTCCATACAATTGAAAGCACAATCGACAATAGGACATACGCATTGTCGCATTTATATGGCTTTTATTATCATATTTAAATCTATTGTGAAATTTATAATAATACTCAATACATTATGATTAGAGTTAATCGCAAAATTAATAACGCAAAAATAATAAATTATATGTTTTTTATTAGGCAATATCTCTTTATTTTTCTAAATGTCCAAAGTTACCTAAAGTGAATAATCATCAAAAAATATATAAAATCAACTAGAATTATTTGGCAACTTTAATCATTTTAATGTAGTAAACTAAGCTGTACCTAATTGAACCATAGGACAGCTTGATTAAAATTGAAACATAGTTATTTGAATACTAAAAATTTAAATAAATTTAAACTATATCAGCTAATTAAAAAGATTTGTAATTAAGACAATGTCAATATAATTAATTAAATAAATGAAACAACAGAATTAATATAAGAGTCAAAATTAAGATTAATATGTGAAAGGTATTAAGATTATAAAGGTACAACGAACATATTAATTCCGAGAACAATAAATCTTTTAAGCATCCATACCTTTCAATCCTATTTTAGTTAAATACATGTTGACCAAGAGATTAATCTATCTCTAACCATTATACATAAGGATTACCTTAATACTTCCATCGATAAAAATCTACAATACAATCATTTCAACCGAATGAACTAGATCTTTAGCTTACAATCAATCTACTATAGTTAAAGATAAAAATAATCATATTTGCATGCGTTTAAATGATTTAGGTGTCACAACACCTGTTATGTCATCAATGCGCGACAATCCAACACTAATTACAATATATAACATCATAGTGCACACGAAAAATGGTTGTTGATGATAGTAATAACAATAATAATGCGATGAACATAATAAGTAGAATACCCTTGGGTTTTGCCAGTTTTGCACTGGTAACAGCATTTTGTTACAATATTGAGCTTGCGCTTGGTTGGAGGGTCAAATCAATTTTGTTTAGTTATATTCACTAAACGCAATTCTTCGAGAGGAAATCCCGAACAACGGAGTTTCAAATAAATAGTACGAGTTTCGAGTAGAGGCAGTACAGAGCAAACATGTCCATTGCAGTGATAACAAGTGTGATGATCGCGGTGTTCTGCGGATTGGGATTGGGGTATAATTTCGATGAGCATTATGGAAAACCAGGATTTCCGGTGCTACCGCCTCCTAGGACGACCAGGCAGACGACAGGTGGTGGAGGATTCATTTGCGTGTCTCCTGCAAATTGTAATAATCCTAACAATACAAACGTAATTGATCCTAGGATCGTGACACCTGTGAGTATAAAGAAGTGTTTTATTGTATTGAGTTTAAAAAATAGGGATGTTTATAATTGAAAATTTTACTTTTCAAGGGAACTGCTCAACCTACAACTTGTCCCGCTGGACAGGTTGAATGCGCTTGTGGAACCAGATATATACCGGTGGTGGATGAGGTGGCTGGAGCCACCAAGCAAGGTGCATTCCCTTGGCAAGCGTATTTGGAGTTCAATGGTCGGTACAATGGAAGTGGTGTTCTGGTCGATCCGACTCACGTGGTGACAGCCGCTCATAAAGTCTTCCCTTATATGTAAGTGATTGAGTATAATATATTTGTTCTTTTGATTATTGTTGGGTTGTAGGACGACACCTCAAGCTATAACCGTGAAGATGGGCGTATGGAACAATCCTACAGGCCCAAACGTTCAGATGAGCACCGTCAGAGCAATCAGAATTCATCCCGGTTACCAAGCCAAAATACCAACCCTCATGGATGACATCGCCATTCTCCAATTGACAACCCCGATCGTGCTTGGAAAATCACCATCCGTAGGAGCCGCGTGTTTACCATCAGCAGACATATCTCAGTACATAGGAAGGAGGTCAGACTAAGCAAACATCAATTTGCCAAGTAATAATCAATAATTTAACAGATGCCTCGTGGCGGGCTGGGGAGTGACTTCTTTTGGAGCGAACGACGCACCGACGATGAATCAAAAGCAAGTCCAGGTTCCCATCGTCGATTACAATACGTGCAGAACGTCGATGATGCAAGGACACGTTTTGGGCACGAACACGGACAGATTTCTGGACACGGGCAACAGAGAGATCTGCGCCGGAGGGGAAGCCAATAGAGATGCATGCACGGTAAATGATCCTAAACAATATGATCCAAATAATTACTGAAGCGAAAAATTACAGCAAGACGGAGGATCTCCGCTCGTGTGTCAAGGGTCTGCTGATGGCGTCTTCCGAGTCGTTGGTCTGGTCATATGGGGCAAGAACTGCGGACAACCCAACGTTTATGGTGTCTATGTAAGCGTTCCGGCTTACCTAACCTGGATCCGAGCTACGATTGCAGCCCTGTAAGAGCCAACTCTAAATCTTCAACCTAACTACAATATATGTATATAACCGATATTTATTTAATCAAGATTCTAATAAAGAAAATTGTCCATATGAATACTAATCGAAATATTTCTAATACATTTTATATCCATTTTGATTTGAATTGCTGATTACATAATAGTTTATGTTTTGAATAGTTACAATTTCTAAACGCGAAGTGCCAAAAGTTAGATAAAGTATTAAAATTATCTACCAAAAATTGAGTAATCAAGTAATTAAATATAAGTTTCACCAAATAGAGAAAGTTCATTCAAATTAATAGACAAGAAACTATAAGATATTTTAATGTACACGAAAGATAAATTACAGGTTTATCTATAAAATACATAAATTTACGTGACAGTTAACTTATTGGATTAGAAACCTCACTACGCAAATACATATGGATTTGTAATTTTGTTTACATTAGTCTTTAAGATAATCTATTATCCAGATCATAACTCTAAAGGCAAATGTGCCACAGAATACAAAATTCCATTCATTTCCAATCGAGAACTAACATACTTTATGTATAACATGTTCATTTCAAACTAGAAACTTGGGATGAATAATTATTGGAATTCAGATGTATCGAATTTAATACGAAACACATAATAATATGGTGAATAACAAATCCAATAAATTCTTAAAAAAATACGAATGTATGGAAAATTAGTTAATGTTTATATAATACTTTAGCGGTTTTAATGAAAATGAAAGAGTAATAGTAACTAAAAAAGTGTTAATTCTCTGAAAAATAAATTATGGTGTGTAGGTATTAAAATAAACAAATAGAAGTAATTATTAAGTGGAGTCTATTTGATAAATCCTTCATTCCATGTAAAATGTATAAGATTGATGATCACTTAAAGTTGATACCTAACGAACATAGATACTCTCATTATGAATATTAAATGTCATTGAAGCTAATTATATAGAAATATGTCAGAATTAAAATGAATCGAAATTTCTAGTCAAGCTTATTCGGTTTTCCGCGGATCTCTTCAATCCTACGTACTGGTTTTCCGCCAATCGCGTCGATTCCGAGACGAGACTTCCGTCACGGCATTAATTATGCATAAACAAGTCGCGGATCGCGCATCTCTTCGCATCTCCTATCTAACGTACTTCATCGATAAATTATGCAACGCAGTTCGACCGTATAAAACGCCCCAACGGGATCAATTAGGTACGATCCTACACACACCAGTTATCTTTCTGGCAGCAACAGCAGCAACAAACTGAATGGAACAAGAACAAAATGAGAATAAACGATTGAACAGAAACAAAAACAACATCAACAATATAATAATGACAAAAAAAAACGTAACAGAAGAGAGAACTGGAACGCGGAAACGATCTAATTGAGTTGACAATCATCTTTTCTTGCGACTGATAAAGGCAGCCGAGACGAATCGAATCAGATGCGGAGCCTTTGTCTTCACGATTGAGCCGTATAGGGAATGGTGTGTGCATGTACATGTTCATCATCCTACAACCGAATTTCCTCGTTTTATCCGCTTGTCCGTCATCAGTCCGTCCGTATACAACAATGGGCAAGAGTTGTTGATGTGTGAAATTTCGCGTTTAATGTTGGCGTAGAGTATATGAGGCGAGACCGGAAATCGCCAAATTGGAGCGGCGGTGCTTTAAAGAGGAGACCCTGTATTCCTTTCGGGGGCCGCTTTGAAAATTGCACGGATCCGGTGTCTGATATCACAGACGCAAAAACGGCCGCTCCGGCTTACATTCTCATACTTGTAATCTGATATAGTTGCGACGATCCCAGAGATTACCAGATCCGAATTCGGAGTTGTATGTTACTCAATTTGTGCTTTAACTGTACAAACGGTTAGATCATTATGGAATTTAAGCATCCGGATTAAGATCGTATCACTAACCCAAATCCAAAAATATTATCAATTTAGTTAAGTTACGCAGATTCAAAGAGATAGAGGTAAAGCAGCAACAACTAAAAATACATCATCTCAAATTTAGTTAGATTCAAATTATGTATTACGTCGATCTGAACTTAATGTCCACTTCAAATTTGTATACCGACTCGCAAATAATAGAGTACTCTTGAGATAATGGACAAACTTTCTCAACAAATAAGAATCGCATCGAAAGTACATTTACATAACAAACAATACGAATGATATTTCCAACCTATAGAAGTGAAGTAACAAAAGATGCAGTGACATAATGTTAATTGCAAATATTGAAATGATGATGAAAGTTAGAATGTTTAACTAAATAATGTTAAATAACAATCTTCTACAAAAACGTACATTACAGTAAATAATTACGAATCGTGATTAGTGAAAAAGAAAATGCATATCAATAGGCTTTTGAAGTTATACTCAATTAATTTTAATATCTAAAATTTATTACATACATAAAAAATAGATATACAATGGACCATTAAGAAACAGGAAAGACTGCCCAATTAATTTTAAACAGTTTTACAACTAATTATATAAACTAATTCATAGATTTATACATAAATTCATTCAAGATCGAATTGATTCAAGAGATTTTTGAAGATTTATAAACATATTATTTGTACATAAAAACCTTGTGATGTTAATGCGAAAAATGATGAAATATTTTGATTAATGAATAAATTCTCGACAATAATTTTGAAGAGTCAAGTACAATTGTAACATTTGTTATCTGCGATGTTGGTAATTGATGTAAGTTCAGTATGAGACGAAAGTTATGTGCTATGAACAATAGCCCATTTAGATAGATCAATATAGAAGTTTTCGTTGTAAAACAGAGTTCGGTGTAAGTGTAATTGGGTAATTTAAGAGGATGGCATGCAAGCCGTCCTCGGAAGAGCAAGCGGAATATGGAAATAGTGCGGTCTCTAGGAGACTCCTTTCTCGTCGGCCACATGTCCTGCGAGATTGGGATCAGCCGCGAGGAATTTCGTCCTGACACACCGCACACAATGGCATCTAATGATAGAAGAGCCATCAATCAAAGAACACACGGCGATATTGTTGTTTGGCGTTTCCGGCTAATCAAATGTTTCTGTGCGATACTGCTTTCTTCGACTTCTTCGTTTTGGTTACTTATTTATTTATTTATTATTTTGCGTGAACCCACGCACAATTCACGCTCTGTAAAACGCATTTAGAGGTCCGATTGTATGAGACGACGGTCGCACCCACGTTTTCACGTTCCGTACCGTTCCGTTCCGATCGGTGCCGTGCCATTCCCTCCGCCACCTTCGAACAAACAAATACAACCTAACGACAACAATAAAGGTTGTCGCGCTACAACCCCGATGAGCGCGTTTTACCCTTAATTATAACTTACGACTTCGCTGCCAACAATGCACGCGTAAATTATCGCAATCACCATTAAAGACGAAAAGGGCGCGGGGCTGCGGGAACAATGCCGCGATTTATTGCTAGAAACAATCGCTTGTTTATATACCCCGAAGAAGCTGAATGCTGCGGACTCTACCCACGCTCCACATAATCTAGTTAACATCGCTACCCCTAACTTACACATCTTACAGTAAATTGGACTTGAGGATGGATTTGTTTGGGAGGATTAAGCAGAGGCGAAATCATCGTTGTTTATTTGCTGGTATGCGGTAAATTGTTTTGTCGCGTCTCTTGCATAACGTATTTATTCGCACCGGCATTCGCATTATGCATTTATTACCGTGTGGCCAGGATATCGTAATTTATACTCGGTGGTAGCGTTTAGTATTCACATAGTTATGGCAGGTTAATATGTCCCATGACCGACCATTAAGCGCATGCATGCGGCATGTACCTGTGTCTGCATTTGAATTGCGACTGATATTTACACCGACGATTCATTACACACTGGCCTCTTTAATACCTAATTCAATAACTCTAACTGCTCATCGGCGAACTGCGAACACTATCGATTCCAATGCACACGGTGACTCCTTAGACATCCTCAAAAGCCACACGTTTTACGATACATGAACATGATTCCTACAATCACATACTTATGTAATATACAATAATTATACAAACTAATGCAACTACAATTCTCATACTCAAATTAACATTCAACAACATTCACATATTTCAATATGAATTTCAATCGAAATAATTCCAATACATCGCTACAATCCATTATCATTTGTATTGCTGATTACATAATAGGTTATATTTTGAACAATTACAGTTTATATACGCGAAGTGCCAAAAGTTAGATAAAGTATTAAAATTATCTACCAAAAATTAAGTAATCAAGTAATTAAATACAATCACATACTTATGTAATATACAATAATTATACAAACTAATACAACTATAATTCTCATACTCAAATTAATATTCAACCACATTCACACATTTCAATATTTTCTATAGCTATATTTACTTTCTATATAACTTTACTCAACAAAATTATATTTGAAAAACTAATATATTAAGCATTTTCTTGATATTTTTTAGGATGAAGACAAATTGTTTTATTTAGAGAAATATAATTAGAATATTGTATGGTTAGTTTTGTGGGTGGGTAAAACATACCCATAGCTAGAGTTAATTGTTCTAACCAACTTCTTTTTAAAGTTACGTGCTACCATCCAAATGGACTATTCTGAAGGCATACCTAAAATTATCCTATTTTTAGAGCAGTCACTACTTGTCAGTTGTAGTATAAAGTACGCCAGGCTAAATTTTACCCATCGCGCGAGTACCTATGTTTTATAAGCGGATAATTAGTGCTCGACACTTGCGCCATGATTTTTGTAGTGACTGGTATACAGTGATAACTGATTGACAAATTTTCGGTTTGATTTTGCATTTTTAGTATAATGTCATCAAATGCATCTTCTTCGGAGATTTTTTTTTGTATTTTTGTGTTACTCTGTCAAAATGTGTTTTTACTTTTAGTTTTAAAATATTTTGTTCGTAATAGAATATACTAAATAAATATTCCTATTTGTGTACTAAATGCTTTCTAAAATATTTTTTTCCAAGAAATTATACATTATAATTACATAAGATAGCATTTAAACTGATGTAACAGTAAATATACACCCTGAGCGCGTC